CCCTAGTGAGAAGATTGTTCTGAACTGGAAGCAATCTTGGGGGAGGAATTACAGTTCAGAAATCTCATTCCTATTACGGTAGTAGATAAAATAGGTAGAAAGGCCAAGCACTTTGGGCTTTRTAAATCTTGTGATCTTTGCTATATTCAGTTTTTAAAAGAGTGAAAGAAGGTCACTTTCTCCTATAAATATCCTACAGTGGGAGCTTTTTGTCAGTCTTGTCAGTCTTTGCTGGATGTACTGGGTGTCTTTCAAATAATAGATTTCCAGGGATTTAGGCTTCGGCAAGTGTCTGGCTATTGGGCCAGCTATTCTGGGTGTGCCCAGAAAGCAGCCTATCTAAATCAAACAAAAGGATAATTAAAATGCATAAACATGTCAAAAAATCMGCAGATTTTCTGGATAGCAGTTTTGGAGCTGAAGGCAGGTTTTTCTAAGGTGACAGGTTGCTTAAGGTATTCTTTACATCTCATGCCAATATGGAACTTCAAAGCAAAAATKCCTATTTGTTTAGCTTTTCTGTGCACAGAGAGTGCTGCAATTGTGTTTAAATAAAGGCTGTTGTCAAAATGTAAGTTGATGTGACTGTACAACTTTGGGAAACAAAGTTTAATWAAGATAGTATATTCATTAAGATAAATAGGCTTGGTCTCTAACCCCATCTTTACTGAGAATAGTTTAAGGGATTTTTTTTTTTCAAGATCAGGTAATTTTAAATTTTATTAATTTCTCTTCCCTTTTTAGTCAGGACTGGGGTTGTTATAAAAACATTTACCATTAATATTTCCAAATCTCTTGTGTATATATGCAGTTATTCTCAGCTGGAAGCACGTCTSTTGCTGAGGGCCTATTTTCACAATAACATCATCCTAACAAAGAGGAAGAGCCATGCACTGTCTTTTCTGGGCTSCCTGACCTCTACCTCACATTGCAATATTTGAAGCATTTCTTTTTGCTTGTAGGTTTGCATATGTATATACCTATGTTTTATGTATTATTTACAAAGACATAGGAACGTTTATATCAGTGTTTCTGCTTTTATTGTTTATGCTGGCATTCAAGTAGAGAAGTACTTTGTTGAGGGAAAAATGCACAAGATTCAGATGAGAGATTTAATTATAGTTTATTTTGTTTATTTGCTGGTATTTAAATTGTTTAAATATAAGGAAAAATGATGAAAGTGTGTTTACATTGATTGATTCTACCCTTCTGCTCTTGCAACAGAGAACATTTCCTATATTTCCTCTCTCAGAATTTTACCACTCTTCAAGGGAAAATATTTGTGTCAGATTTTAGRCCTCCTTCCTCTTAGCCTCTGTTGGCAATGCAGTGTCCCTTCTCCTGCTGTTCCAATAGCAGCCCCCCATAGATGGTGAGGAGCCTCCATCTGTGCCTGGTCCAGGCTGATTTCTGCCTTCTTGAGCGCCGCTGCAGCTGGATCTGCCATTATGGTGTCTTGTACAGCAGCTCTGCATTCTTTGAGATAGCCACTAGATTCCCTGCCAAAATTTTCCTATTATTTTTTCTTTCTCACTGTTGTGTTTGATTAGGGATGAATGACTGGTTCATTGTCCTTTTGAGTGGTTTTAGGTTGTTACTGGTGTGTCCACAGTGTGAATATCTGTACCGAAGCTAATCGCCCTGGGCTTCTCCCTAGTTTCAGAAATCACTGGAGATGGGAGCAAAATCTAAAGTGCAGTTGATTTCTTCTTCAAGAGGGTGCCTAACTGGTCAAATGAATCACACTTAGAATGCTTATTACTCTTCTCTGACTGTAAAAAAAAACCCAACCATCAAGCAACAACAAAAAACCCCAAACTCAAATGACTCTGTCAAGGATAGATTTAGGCATTGCACATATACAAATCAAGAGAGAAAGAATTCAACTTGTGATTCAGAATACTTTCCTTTTTCCTTTTTTTTTTTTCTTCCATTTATGTCTTCACATTCTTATTTCTTTTCCACTGCCTAGGTATACTGTTTTAATTATTTTCAATGTCTAATCATATCTCTCAGCCTTGTCTTGAGCACATGATCAGGCATTGAGTTAAATACATGTCTAACAGGCTTACTTACCTTATGATACCTTACAACTTTGAAATACACATATAACAAAACCTTGTGCTTCTGGGGTTGTGTTCTGCCATTTCATCTTCAGAAGATTCCCTTACTAACTGTACAAAACTGAACTGAATCCTGCTCCTTTTAGCCAAGGTTTTCTGGTGTCTTCTGAGTTACTGGAAAACAGCTGAAATTTTTACTTCTTTAAGTTCTGAAGTTCACTTTATGAAGTTCTCACAAACAAAAGGCAACATCTTGCCAGTTTTTCTTGGACATTACAYGAGTAATAACTTCTGCTTAGTCTGGGATGACTTTGTTTTGTCTTTACTTTTAAAATTCATCTTTGCAAATGCAGCTTMCAGATTTTACTAACGTCTATAGAACATTTATGTTGAAGCTAGGAAATTAAATTAGAAACTTCAGTTGAAGAAAATTGCGTGGATGTTGTGTTTTGTGTGCTTGGCAATTAAGGCACTACTTAGAGAAAACCTACTTCGAGAAATTCATATGACATTTGTGCAATCTGTGTTTCATAGTGAATGGCATAAAATCTTTAGGCAATTTATATTATCAGCCTCTTACTATAGTTCTAAAATTGTGAGATAGAGGAATTCTTTTGCATATTCTTTGCCATACTTTAATTAATGCACGTGATTCTGTAAGAACTCTAGTACACTACCTATTCCATTTTGTAGTAAAGTTACTAATTTTATCTTATAAAGTTGAAAGAAACAGAAATGAAGTTGGGAGATCTACACTGCAGTAAAAGTAGTAAGATGTAAGACCCCATCCCACTTCCACAGAATAATGTTCCAAATAGTGCTCCCATTTATTTTAATAGTGCAGATCAGAATGTGGATTAATCTCCAGTTAAATAAAGTGAATCTCCMGTAAAATAAGTGAATCAAGACAGGGCTAATGCATCCTTTAACTTTTGACCATTTTATTTATTGTGCAGATACAWACACACCCCTCAATGTGAGCAGGTTATTGGTCTGTCATTTCTTRTTTATGGTAATGAGTTCACTTTGGTTTAGTTTGTCAACTTTGCATCTATGTATGAAGCTGTAGATAGTCTTAATGAGTCCCATGAAGGTTATTAGGAGCAGAAAGTCTATGCACAATAAAGCAGGAAGAAATGATTCATGGGCTGTTTGCTTTCATGGCATCTCCAACAATGCTTGTGAAATATTTTGAGATCTTTAGATTAAAGCAGTCTTAATTTAAGTAATGACATGTAAATTTTATATATGTGATGACATGTATGCTCATAGAGATAGTGACTGATAGGCAAARCTCTGCATAAACCTCATATGTGATTGAGCTGTGAATATTCAGGCCAGTAATTATATACTATAAAAATAATATCCTTGAGATAATTAAAGATATCTCAATGACCTAATGAATCACAGAATAACTGAATTAGATATCTAACTTCTCAATTTCAAGCTCTTATTTTCTGTGCTACCCAGTGTGTGTTTTGATGGTTAATGACAGTGCTGTGCCCAAAGATTTTCAGAGCACAAGTGTGGCACAGTATGTTTCTGTACTGCAAAGACCTCTGTTTAAAAAAGTATTGCTAGTCAGGCTCCTCTCTCTGTACCTTCTTCTCATCTCCAAATTCACATAGGCCACCTAATCCCTGCTACTCCAGCGGGAGAAAATAGTGGTTCCAGTCAGGCTTTCACTTCATTCTTTTGCTATGCTTGTCCCTTTAAAGGTTTCTGTTCAAGTCACTGAGAAAACTTTATTGAGAAGATTCACACTGATCACTGAGCTTTGAGATCTTAAAAAAATAGTTGTACTTTCCTTTTCTTTCTTTTCTAAGGTCTAATAGTTGCTTATAAAAATTAATCTCAATTCAGGAGCTTGCTTTGGTTACAATTACAAGAGCCTTCTGCATGACTTGAGCTAATTAAAATTTTCATTAAAGTCTGAGCCATTGAAGCAAAGAGCCAATACATCATTTCTATCCACTTTACAATTTATATATTTTCAGCATCTAATAGCCTTCACAGGGATCATTCCATTCATTCATATGCCTCTTAGTAGTTATATTCTGGCCCATATTTCCAAAAATGGCCCCTATATTTGGCATAATTGTGGTGTTCTGGTCTCAAAAAGCCCATCCAGCAAAGTCCTCAGTGTATGTGCACATGTGGATTGAGTTCAGTTAGTTTGCTGAGATTTAAAATTTTCCAGTCACTGAAGGTAACTGCTTTTGAACATTTAGCCCCACTTTCTGATGTGTGTGATCACAAGATTCCTCTCTGATGTCTCAGAAGTTCTAAAGCTACTTGTATTATGTCAAATTAGGAATGTGGGGCCTATATTTCTCTTTGAGGGGCACCTCTTTTCCCAGACATCTCAGCCCCAAAACTTATTTGCATGGTGTTGACAAGGTATTGTACACTTGCAAATAGCAGCCCCTGAGATTTTATATTTTATGGGAAAAAATTAAGCACATGTATATACAAATACATGCTCTTTGGGTTTGTATGTATATATGTAGGAGGAGATGAATTCTACAGATCTGTGAATAAATGCTTCTCCATGAAGAGTGTTATCAGAGGAACAATTTCTTTTTTTTACAAGTTAGCTCAGGTTAAACATTGGAAATTATTTCTTCTTTTCCCTTTCCACCTACGTGGACCTCCAGCTRTATCTTCATACAGAACTGTTACACAGCTGTAATGAGAAAAAATGTAATTCACACTGAAACAGCTGTGAATCTTTAGTTTCCGTTTATTCTGATAAGCACTTGATTAATTTTCATGGMTGCCCCTCTGAGGGTAACTAAAGAAAAACTGAATTGATTTCAAATATATCTTACTATCCTTTCTATTTCTAATATCTGTGTTTAATGGATGACCAAGTGGATTGGAAGGTGTAGACAAGCTGAAGCTGGTTTTTAATCGAATATTTTCACTTCTTTTCAGTATACCTCTGCTCTGACCTATGATGCTGTTCAAGTGATGACAGAAGCTTTCCGTAATTTGCGTAAACAGAGGATTGAGATCTCCAGAAGAGGAAATGCTGGAGATTGTCTTGCAAATCCAGCTGTACCCTGGGGACATGGTGTAGAAATAGAAAGGGCATTGAAACAGGTAGCTTTCCTGGAGTGGATGCTGRGATGAGTGCATGTGTGAAGTTCTCTATGAATGCTTGAAAAAATCTTGCAGTCTCCTAACCTATCTGGATCTTGCTGGGAATAATGTGGAAGTGAAGTCCTCAGGAACCGCTAAGATAATATATTGCAAATGAAAATGACTCTAAAGTGAATGTTTTTGAAATATCAGTAATCATTTGTGGAATTAAAAACACGCTTTCGAGAAAGAAAAGACTTAATTATCCTACCACTTTCATCTTCATCTATTATAGGTTCAGGTGGAAGGGCTAACAGGAAATATAAAGTTTGATCAGAATGGAAAGAGAATCAATTTTACAATAAACGTCATGGAACTCAAAAGTACTGGTCCTCGGAAGGTAATTTGAATTGTCTTACAGTGTCTTTAAAGGTTTTACCATTCTAAACAATTGGTTAAGGTAGGTACTGAAACATTAAATTAATTAATATGTGAGTTGTGATAATATTTATTCATAATGTATTCTACAGTGGTCTTGCAGAAAGAAACAAACATATTTTATTTCTTTCTATCAAATATGAATTATTATTTCTGGTAAGTACTACATGAGTGCTTTCTTCTTAATTTTATGGATTAAACATTTCGCTTTCTGATCTGAGTTGCTAAATGTGAGCCAGCATTTGGAAACGTATGCTTCTGAAGGACAAAAGCTGGATACAGCATTTCAGTGATGTTTTTGTGAATGTGTTTGTCTTTCCATACTAATTTTGAATCTTGCAGGAAAAACCAGTTTATCATATCTTTCTAATCTGGAGTATTTCAATTTTACAATGTTTGATGTTGATACTAAAACCTGTCAATATGTGAATAAAAAATGGTATACCCATTTTAGACAAAGTAATTTGAACAAACGTCWTTAGTTCAATCTTTTTACTGTTGTAGTTTTTCATTACATAAATAGACATGCTTACAGTAGTAAATCCATAGCTGAAATAGTTCTCTGTGAGCACATGTCAAGGACATAATATTAACATGCTTTGCCTTTTCTAGTAAAGTTCATATTCACTAGTGTCTGTGCATCCTCTACACTCTCTTTAGATTGGATATTGGAGTGAAGTGGACAAAATGGTTGTGAATCCTCTTGACGGTCCTCTTGGAAACGAATCTTCAGGACTAGAGAATAAGACTATTATTGTCACCACTATTTTGGTAATTAATCTCCTACTTTGTCAGAAGACAGTCTGTCCGACAGTGATTTGTTTCTCGACATTGTTAGTTTAAATATACTGTCATTTTATTGTKTAAGGTTGTGAGCTGTTATTGTTATGTGATACATAATAAAATCTAAACATTAAGGAAGTGTATRTGATTCAGTATGCGATTTTGACCTGTAGAGGATGAATGGTCTCYGATTGAACATCCTGGAAAGTTACGTTTTTTAAACCTGAAGATAGAAACTAAATGCTTGTTTTCGAAGGAGAGGAACTTGGTGAGAGGAAGAACCATAGTATTAATTTTAGAGAATAGATTTTGACAAACAGCAAAGAAACTGATTCTTACATTTCAGGATTGTAGCTGCTATGGCTTGGTAAAGTGTAAAATAAAGCATTAGAAATTGTATTCTGGTTGTTTAGAAAATCGAATAGAATATTATTATAAAAGAGCATTTTTCTGTAAATTACACAGCTTATTTAGCAGTTTGGACAAGTTGTAGCTTAGCATGGAAATTTCTCTGGAAGCAAGAACAGTTCTGTAACAACTGAGMAAATACATTAATACAACTTATGACTCACCACCAATTTTGCTGATGATAAAACTTTAGTGCATAGTTATAGATACCTTACCTATTGTTTGTATAGCAATTTAATAAAAATATAGCCTTGAGAGCCTCGAGTGTTTTCCCAGGGAGAGATGTGGTTGTGAAATAGAAAATCATTTTCTTGTACAAGACAACAACAAAAGCAACTAAATACCTTTGCCTTCTTCCATCCAAACTATATGAGAGAAGGAAACTGATTTTGGAATTTACTCTTTCTTCTCTGAATGCGTAACTCCTGTTAACATTCATGGTCATTATTAACATACTTCTGGGAATCACTGTGCCTGTAAGTACTGTTATTTGTGTATGACTGTGGAGAATGCAGCTTTTAAATGTGTTACAAACATGTCACATTAATTATTAACAACTAATGTATACATAGCATGTATGATTCAGATGGTATCTGCTCTCTTTTTTCACATTAAAAAGGAATATTAATCTGTGAAATGTACAGCTTTAAAAAAAAGCTGGTGCACCTGTCTCTATCAAGTAGCTAAGGCAAATTCTTTCTGTGCAGGAGTCCCCATATGTCATGATGAAGAAAAATCACGAAATGCTTGAAGGAAATGATCGATATGAGGGCTATTGTGTGGACTTAGCTACAGAAATTGCTAAGCACTGTGGATTCAAATATAAGCTCACAATTGTTGGGGATGGCAAGTATGGGGCAAGGGATGCAGACACGAAAATCTGGAATGGGATGGTTGGAGAGCTTGTTTATGGGGTAAGAAAATTTTCTATAATAAAGCTATTAAAGATGGATAGAGTGGGATTTGGTTTCGTTTTCTCAGTAGAGTGTAGGGAAATTATCTAATTTGATAGAAAATAGTAATTTCTAATGGCAGTAAAATTTTGAAAGTACATTTTAAATGCAAATGAAGTTGGGGGGGGACATGAATGCATATTTCATCCTTCTGACCAGACGAAAAGCAAAGTACTTTGCTAAACTTTTAAATGCCATATGCTTTTAAAAGGGCATATATAAAAACAAAAGCTTGGAATACACCAACCATATGGCTATATGTATTTCAGTCTGAGTTTAACTAAAAATTTCTGAAATTCTCCACAGGATGTTCATGGTGAAACAAATGTTGCTGCTGTCTCTGCTGTCCTATTTTCTGTTTGTGAAAAGCCATAGAAACTAAACCATTTTTTTACTCTGTTCATTGCACTAGCTATTATTTGCTTTTTTTTCTTCCTTTACAGAAAGCTGATATTGCAATCGCTCCATTAACTATAACACTGGTGAGAGAAGAGGTGATTGACTTCTCAAAGCCCTTTATGAGCCTGGGGATATCCATAATGATCAAGAAGCCTCAGAAGTCCAAGCCAGGAGTGTTTTCATTTCTTGATCCGTTAGCATATGAAATCTGGATGTGCATTGTTTTTGCCTACATTGGGGTCAGTGTAGTTTTATTCCTGGTCAGCAGATTTAGCCCATACGAGTGGCACACTGAGGAATTTGAAGATGGAAGAGAAACGCAAACTAATGAATCAACTAATGAATTTGGGATATTTAATAGTCTCTGGTTTTCCCTGGGTGCCTTTATGCAGCAAGGATGCGATATTTCGCCAAGGTTGGTTACTCACTCATTTCAACTTTGTGCATTTTTGGTCTCAGCCATCTCAGCCAGAAGAGGTTCGTGGTGCATATATTTTCATTCTTGGAGAGAAATTAATTGCAATGCTTTTTTCCCTCCCTAAAGTCACAGAAGTGCTTGAAATAAAAGCACTTATCTGTGGCATAGGGTTGGGATGTAGCTGATCGATATTCTTGATGTCGATCATAGATTTTCCAAGGTGAAGTTATGTACACCATGAGGAGACTATAAAATGCATGAGGTTCACATCATTCCATGCCTTCTTGGAGGGGTACCGTGTTTTTGCTGCATATTCCCATTTTACAGTTGACAGTGCATATGGTTCACAACAACTGTAATGGGAAAAAGGGTAACACACAAGTCACGAACTACACAGGCAGCACTTTCCCTCTAGAACTCACTACATATCATAACATGGTTATTAACATACTCTATTCCCCAGGAGWGCCTTGAACTGAAATAAAAGTCCTGTGATGACTCTAATTTCATGTGGATAGTTGCAAAACACTGCTATTTTTCCATGGCCTAGTTTTAGAAAAGTCACAAAGGAAATTGCGAAAATGAATCTGAAGGTCCAGTTTTTAAGTACTTAATTCCTCATGGATTTTTGTCTACTTTATTAGGGACAACTGTAAAGCACTTAAGTTTTAATTCCTTTGCAGTTCATTAAATATTCTATTTCACTTGTGCACCTGTGGCTCTAGCCTTGATTCAGCAAAGTGGTAAGTAAGTAGGTAAATAGCTGCTTGCTGCTTCAAGGAAATAGAGTAACAATTTAAATAGGGCAGCCAGTTTAAGGAAATCAAACCAGAAGACTTAGTTAAAACTGCTTAGTATAATTACATTTCTTGTAAACATCCTGAAGTAAGAACAGGTCAGTCAGTTTCTAGTGAKTCTAGTGATTGGCGGTCAAAATAAATCATACCTAGGGAGCATTTATTAAATATAAGTCATGCATCCCAAAAGGCAGCAACTAATTTTCAAGTTGTTCTACTGCAGAAATAACAGCATTTATTGTGTGAGAACTTAAGCAATTCTATGTAAAGGTTCACAGTAGGAGATGCCAGCTTTTATGGTGAAAGATGCAATGCATTTGGCATGTAAAACAGTAAGAATTGTGTGAGAGAGACAAGACAGTGAAGAGGGCAAATTGCTTCAGGTCATGAGAAGTTGTGTTAATTTCACTCCTGTGGGGTTTTTGTATTGATTACACACTTCACAGTTGGAGTTGTCTGCTAGGTCACCTATTAGTACAGAATTATTTTTATTGAATCCAGGCTATAGTAGAATTATGATCCTTTTCTTGTTATCTTTATTGTTTTACTGGCTATGAAAATGCAATGGTTGTTTTGCATGGTTTGATAGCTTTTGAAAGGTAGTGTAATARTGATAGCAAATAGTCATCATAAAAGGTGCATGAAATTCAATTTTGGATATTCGATACTTAGTTTCAGTGAAACATTTACCTTTATTTCATTGCAAACATAATTTTTAGGAAGGTGGTTAGTTTGTATATTATCCATTTATTATAAAAATAGAAAATGGCTGAAAAACACTTGTTATTTCTGATTTTTCACCAAAACATTTCACTATGGAATTTGAACTGCTTACAGATGAATCAGAGTAAATATAAAAAGACTGTCTTCAGGTATCATTTTTGAAGTTAGATTTTGCTCTACTGCAGAATTATTTCCCTAATAAAAATGACAACCACTCTAAGACTTTTAGAGCAGACGAGTGGTGCTGAGTAAGACTGGGCTGCCTGGAAATGGTCTGTAATAGCAGTCCCTATGTTGCCTTATGGCTAGTAGAGGAACAAAAGAGCAGAATAATAATATTATGTGGTAATGATAACTTAGAGCGAAGTTTTTCTCTTTTTTTTTGAAGTGTGAGTGTGCTCTCAGTTCTGCCAGATCATACCTTTCTAAGTGCAAAATATGGTGCACAAATTTATGTGGCTGTGCACAGAAATTTTTATTTTTAATTCTTTTAGTGCTTAAAGATCTGGTAAATTAGGTAGTTCTAAAGTGTGGATTCATGTTAGCACATTTTTGAAACATTTCAAAATGTACATTAAAAAACTATTTATTTAACTGTGCCAGACTGGCTGGAGAAATGTTGGATACAAATGACATCCCAAGTAATTTTATTTGTAAAATTCAAGTGGGAGAATAATTTCTGGATTAGTATTGAGCTTATTCTTTTTTCTCAAAGTCAATGGCAACTTTTCTCACAGGTCATGGACTTTTGAAAATTATTGTCATTTGTGAAGTGTGTCATCAATACAATATAAAGTGCCATAAAGTTGGAGTTATTAAATACACAGTGATAGATTTTACCTAGCAAATCTGTAATATAATATATTCAGTATATTTTATTTGTAGAATTATTTTATATTCTAATTAACACCATTTCAAAAAAAGTGTGTGATGTTTTTTGAAAGGTGACAGAAAGCATGCTTGCATAATACATCTCACTTTAGGATGAGCTTGAAATAATTTCTTTTCTACTATGGTCCTTTTAATGACACATTTTGGACCTTATCTGACTTGATTTTCATGTAGCAAGAGTGAATAAGTGAGTCTGTTGTGACGAGGAGTAAATCTTTTAATGTCACAATTATGACAGAGATTTTATACAGTAGCAGTTGGAGAAAATAATTTGTCCAGAAATGGTTGCATTTGATTCTGTTCCTGGCTTGCTAAATCCACCTTGCATAGCTATCATTTTTGAATGTACATATATCTATATATAGTTATATCTGTATATATATTCTATGTCAGAACTAGTTTGTACTCTCATTCACAATACAGTGTGCTGGGTGAGTGATTCTTAATTTGTTTGCTTAATAAATAGAGGGACACACCAAGACATACCCAAGGTAATGCCCTAGCCCTAGACTTTCAGCTRCATTCACACTTCTGCCAAATAATTAAGCACATCTCAAATGATTATGTACTGCTTCCTATAATGTCTTGTTTGGAAACCAAGTAGTAATTCATTTCAACGTTTAAAGGATCGTGAAAAAAAAATGCCAAGTTCAAAAATAATGTAATATCAATATTTATCTTATATTAGTTTTCTATTATTGAAAGTTACTGAGTTGAGTTGTGTGCTTTATGCTGTTTTATATATTTTCTTGAGTTCTCTTTTCTTCTTTCTTCTTGAGCAGGAGAAGCAAAACACAGATCCATAAGAGCCCACCTGCTGCAGTTATAAACATCAAATTATTATTATTATTATTATTATTATTTTAAATATATTTTCTTCACCATTTTTCTGTATTATCACAGAAATTTTTCTGTATTATCACATGGATTGTTTCATGTCCAGTCATCAGTTTGTTAAATTCTTGTATCTTTCAAAAGTTGTGTGCACTTTATAGATACTCCCTGAGCAAGCTTTTCTTACGAATAATGCYAATTGTTTCTCAGTACAGACTGTGCACAGCAGCATAAGCCTTTGTTTTGTGGAAGTCAGTCTTTGTCTGAATGTCTTAGGAAAACAATCAAGGCACTTGATTTTAAAGTGCATATTGGTTTATCCAAAAGCAGTGTTTCACTGGTTTTGTTTGATCCTCATCATAATGTCACACAAAATCACTTCAGAGGGAATAAAAAGTTTGTGTTAAATATAGTACATTATGATGGGAACAGTTTCCTTCAAGGGTTGTCAAAACTTTGAAGAACTGGATCACTAAGTTYTCCCAAAAGTAAACATTGGAGTCCTGATTTCAGCAAAGTCCAGTGGAAATGCCTTGATTTCCCATCTAATGTGAATGCAGAGCTGGACTCTGAGATAGCCTGAAATGCTTCCCTATAGAATAATGCTTAGTTTGTGTAAAACTGATAACGTGTTCCTTTTTAGGACTTCCATTTCACTTTACAAATCCATTTCATACTTGTTACTAGATCCCTGTCGGGGCGCATTGTTGGAGGTGTGTGGTGGTTCTTTACCCTCATCATAATCTCATCCTACACGGCTAACTTAGCTGCCTTCCTGACGGTTGAGAGGATGGTGTCTCCCATTGAAAGTGCAGAGGATCTTTCCAAGCAAACAGAAATTGCTTATGGGACATTAGATTCTGGCTCCACTAAAGAGTTTTTTAGGGTAAGAATCTCTACTTTTTAGATTTGTTTTTTTTTAGATTGTTTTAAGTAGGTCTTCACTCATGTAAACGTGTTTTCCCTTGGCTTTATTAAAAGCTTGCTATGAGAGTGTTATTTTCACAGCTCAACTCACAAGTAAAAGTTTTTCTGTTTATTTGTAATTGTTGCATTTTATTATTTATATACAAATATAAGGGTCTTGATATAAATATGCAAAGTGAAATTACCTAAAAAAATACTCCACTACAGAGTGTAAAACAAGGTATGTTTGAAGAAGGGAGTTGATGTCATTTATTTTTTTAATATCTCTGCCGTATTTCAGGCGCTCCCAGAGTGAATAAGAACATGGGAAGGTGCACATTCACGGCTTAATAAGTATTCTACATGATTTTTCAAGGTTGCAGATAGGGAATAGGATATAATCCTGCTGGCTGCTGTAGAAAATACATGCCTGCTTTTGAAAACAGTTCTTCCTTGTATTTGTGTTACGTTAATGCCTTGRAAGCCTGTCAGTCCTCACCTTCTACCTCTGGGTACTGCAGTTTTAAAAATACATGAAACTTCCAATGTGTGAGTCTCAGGCTGCCCTTGAGACATCATCTAGAGCCTGATGAGATCTGTCCAGCAAATGAGTGAGAGACTAAGGCTGCTGACAAAAAATCCAGAACAGTCTTGCCTTGTCTGTGTGCCCTGAGTGTTTCTCACTGTATGAAGGAAGTGCATCTGAAGTACTAAAATAGAAAACGACTTCTTTTTTCATTTTTTTAGTGCATGATGTTACATTTAAGAAAATGTGTTTTAAAATAGTTGTAAATAATTCATTTACATTTCAAACATACACTAACATGAAATGAAGCAGGTTCTCATGGCTATTTCTTACAGCTATTTATGTGTAATTAGATCAGTAACTGCTAGATTATGGTTTTCACTGGATCCAGTAATGCATACTTAACTGGTAATGGACTAAATAGGAAAACACGTTTGTCTCAGCTGTAGAAATTTTCTGATTTGAGGATAGGTTCAGTAATAATACCTTCTGCTGATTGCATTTTGATAAATCAAAACTAACACTGGTGTGTAATCTAGCRAAAAATGAGCCTGGGTTTGTGCTAAGAGTGTTTAGAAACATTTAGAAGCACACAGGCATGTTTCTGGTTTTGTAAACATAAACCTTTTAGAACATGGCTGTCCTGGGGATTGAATGWGAATTAACAATAGGTCACTTCTTTTGAATAGTTTCTCTTCAGAGATTTTTACGCGTTTCTTTTTTAAACAAAAAATGTGTGCATGTGCTTGMATTAGTATCTAGTTGTATATATTTCCACTATTACACAACTGGTGTTCCTGGTGATTGCTTGAGCATTAAAAACTTATGTTTGTAAAAATTAGGTAGGGGCTTTGTCAGGGCATATTCTTTATCTTTGGTTAAGTTATCTTTGGCTCTGCACAAGCAAAACCTTCATGTTCTCTAGAAATTTCTACTCAGCGATTTCTATCATAAGTGTGTACATTATGTGCAAAACTTTTTAGCCTGATGCCTCTGTCTACTCTTTGCTAAAAATCATTTACATTTGTCCAGTTACTTTTCAAGAAATAACAACTGTCAGAAATTCTTTTTAAGAGGCGTGAAACTCAAGGTTCAAGAATGAACTACTCTTTCTGCTGAAGGTAATGTGAAAGGAATCTCTAGCACAAAGGAGACTAAAATTTCACCTGGAGTATATCGGTATTCTGACTGGATTGAATGTGTGATTTTTATATGACATGAAATTAGCACTCAGGTTCTGGGAAGAGCTGAAAACTTGAGTATATTTCTAGCAACAAGCTAAAAYAGTCTGGCTTCTGCTCTGTAACTCTCAAGAATTAAAAAAAACATGTAGGGTTTTTCAGTTAATCTGCTTTCTCTTAGAAGTTTGTTTCCTTGTGATGGAATCTGTACTGAGTCTTTGCTAATGGAGCCCTAATTCCTGGGGCAGCTCAAAATAAAGGATAGTGTGTGCTAGGGATGAGAACAGGACACTGCATTATCTTTGCTACTAAAATGTGTTTTGTGATAATACTTTACACAATTRAAAAATAGCTGTTTTGCAGTATTTTTCAAAAAAGAATTCTCAGCAATTGCCTAGGTAGTGAAAGTTAGTTAAAAAATCCTGTTCTGAATAGCTGAACGCATATGCATGCGATGTTAATTGAAAGGGGTGGGGTCAAGCCTTTTTCCAGCTCCTGTGACTGCTCATCCCATGTCCTACAGACAGCAGGCGTGCAAGCTAGTCCATATCACTTGACTTGGGAATAACATCCTTTTACATTCTGAAAATCCTGACAGAAGAMTGTCTTGCCTTTGCACTTTACCTTAATTTAGGTAGGCACTCCCTAGCTTCAAAGATATTATGGACCAGGAGGAGATAATTTTTGCCAACAGTGTGTAGAGCATCAGTTGGCATTACATCAAGAAACATAAGGGATGAAAAACCACTGTACTTTGGTGTTTCTAGTGCTGCTTTAAGATGAGAAGCAGAAGCTTGGTATATCCTACATAGGAAATATCAGTGTAAAAATAATGCATTTTAAAGTATTTTTAAAAGTAAAAAGGTGGCAGATAAAAAGTAATGATACTGCTTTGCTGAGCAGTACACATCAGCAAGATTCTAATACTTGTAGGTAATTTTATAGATGCAAGTCTATAGAGTCAGAATTTTTTACTTTAATGGCAGATCTGTCAGGTCTCTGTAAATACCAGAAAGTGTAGTAGTTTTTCTCAGGAAATCACAAAGTCGGTATTAGCAGAGCTGCAAGTACAATACAAGTCTAAGCACCTCTGTTCCACTGAGTYGGGATATTTATCACTTCTGGTATTTGCTAGGGCCTCTGCTTTATATAGTACTTGTAGAGTTCTTAGTGCAACTGAAAGCCTAATCAAAAGTATATTTTACTTTGCTGTTGCATTTTCTCTTGGTTTATGGGCAAAACAACAAAGTATATGTGGCCATGGTTTTCCCAAAGTGCATCATGTTTCTCAAATCAGTAGTGGATTGAAGTGAGAATGCAAATAAATCTGCAAGTACAGCTGGGAAGATTTAGGAGACATTTTAACTGGTCTTGTGCAGGTGCATCATCTCTGATTGTTGTATCACAGGTGCTACTTGATGGAGAGGTAAATGGTGGGCAGTGAAATGTCACTCTGCTACATCCTAGTGACRCTGTCCAGTCACACACAGTCTTTGCCTTCTGTGATTTCTTAGTTGGCTTGTGCATTAGCCAGGACTCATAGTTGAACTTTGAAGGGGAAAGAAGTCACTACCCCAAGAAGACAGTGTTCTGCTCAGCTGCCACTGCAGAAGTTGATTTTAAAGCTTTATCTATTTGTGTTAGTTCCTGAAGTTGCCTGACTTACTTTCATGGGCTACGGTGCTGGAAGAAAGAATCAAAGTAAGTATGCAGACATTTGTTGGAACATTTCCATGCTTTCCTCCTACTTGAAGGCATATTGAAAATTAAAGTGATACAATGAGAACAAGTTAATTATTTTTACAATTCAGTCATATTTTTGCTGTATGCCTGGCTCTGTTCATTAAAGATATGTACAAACCAGATAGACAAGAGAAATCAATCATCCTACCTTTTCTTGCACTTCAGAAGATGAATTTTAACTAGTCCTATATGTCAGGTAATAAGGCTCTCAAAAATTATGTGCAGAGCAATAATTTGACTAATTTGCTTTCTCTCTGCATTAGTTTTTATTTAAAATCTCTTCATATGTACCTATTTTTGAACCAACAGTGTGACATGGACACACCAATCTTTTTCATTGTAAGTGTTTGGGTGGCCTTTAAGAATAGATCCTCTGTCAAAATAAAAGCAAGCAGAAGTGCTCCATAACAAAGAAGTGTGCTTTGACTTTCCCTGAKAAGACTGTTCAAGAGTTGCTTATTCTTGCTTAAGAGGCAAGTTTACAGAATGAAAAGTTGGATGTTGGAAACAAGCTGGAAGATTGTAATCGTTACAATCTTGTGGAGAAATCCTCTCACACAGTGGAAAGCCAACAACAGACAAAATGCTGACAAGACCACTTGAGTCATTTCTCCTGAGAAAGTGTTGTCTGTTGGGAGGCAGAGAAAATTTGACTTGAAGGAAAATAGTAGTGTCTTTTCTGAGTGTCTTCAATACAGTCCAGTGACTCTAGTTTTATAAGTATTTTGAAATACTTTTTAATTTGTAAAAGTTTTTAAGTCAACAATTGCATTACAAGAGGATATGCAATAAAATACACAGTGGTCTATGAACCTCAGTCTGTCTTCATGCACATMAAAATATTGAAATTTCTAAAAAAAAATTTTAAAAAACAACCAAAATCACAGGAAATCTTTAAAACCAGTGAGAAGAAAAGAAACACGATTTTTTGAAATTAAATTGAAGTAAAAAACTATGAATCATACCTCAGCCTCAATTTTTGAAGTTTGAGATGTAAAAGAATTAATGAACATCCATTTCCAGAGTTTAATTTTGACTAGCTCCACAGCAGGCTCTGAGAGGTGCAGGAATCGAAAAACACAACTATGAAATAGCCTGTAATGTTTACCATGGATCCTGCTTGATACCTCAAGYGGCAGAGAGGGTGTGGGACTGGCACTTCTTGGATTTGTAAAGTAGATGTGGTTGAAGAGTGCAAATTTGGCTCTTTAGTTTGACAGGAGAAAATGGTCCATAGCTGAAACAGTGAGGAGAGTCACTTCTGAGCACTGAGTTAGTGCAAGGACTGCCTCTGCATCCAATAGGRTATTACTGATGAGATGTTTCTACTCTGCTGTGATACAGAGGGTTCAAGTGATTAATTTTCACTTGTCTCTTGTTTTTTGAGGTCTTTGCATCTGGACAACACAGAAGATTTGATTTAGGCCCTTTTGAAAGTTATTTTGAAAGAATGCAGGGATCAGTACTTCCTTTTTTTCCTCAGGGAATCTCTTAATTATTTTTCAGGTTTTTTTTTTTTTTTGGTCTGTC